GTGCGCGCGCGGCGCTGCAGCTTTTTCTGCGGGCTCCGCGGCGCGCCCCTCCTCATCGCAGCGCTCCTGGGCACGCGGCGGTTCTCCGCCAGCTTCCCGAGGGCCAGGCGCGGGCAAGCCGGTTGCGAAGACACCCTGGGCAGCACCTCAGGTGAGTTGCTCCCGCGGGGGAGGCTGCGACCCCGGCTCCTCTGCCAGGTGGGTAGCTAGGTCCCCGGTCCAGCGGCTACCCCTGCGTGGCACCTGAGCCCGGGGGTGGTCGAGCCGGCATTCCGGTGCCTGGAATCCCTCTTTCTTCCCGCGCCCCGGCGATCTATCCACCCGCCACCCCCTCGGTGCTGAGGAGCTTCCGGCGGTCTCTCTTCTCCTGAGCTGCAGCCGGGGGTCCTCGAGACCCTGGCTTGCCTTTACCCGCTGCTCCCCGCCCCTCTAGGAACTGGGGCATCTTCCAGATCGGAATACTGTGCTTTACCCTGACCCTTTCGTGGGGAGCACATCAAGTGCTTATCAGACCTCCAAACGACCTTTAGGGCACCCCTAAACCTCAGCTCCATTTTGTCCCTTCCCGCTTGCTCGGTATTTGAGGACTGGGGCGGGGTGGGGGTCTCTCTGGCCCTAGAGTCATCCGCCCTTCGAGGGATGCCCTGGCTTCGGATAGCTTCTTAGCGCCCATATCTTTAGGTGTGCTAGCAGAAGCATGCTCTTCTGTTTTTCTCTTCATCCTTTCGACAACCGTGTCTGCAGTGGGTGCCGTATATTTAGCATTGGCTTTATTCACTTCCTCTTCCTCTCATTTGCGTGCCCTAAAGAAAAGAATTGTAGCTGTCTAGAGCACATAGAAAAATCCAGGAGAATATGATTCATTGCCTAACCCTCATCAAGGGGTTACATATTTTAAATAAGACGTCATTTCTCCTCTTCACTCCAGCATCTCCTCCTTCAAAGGCAATTTTGTTCACCCTCTTGAAATGAACTTGCTCTGTGAGCTCTTCAGCTTTAAACATATCATTTGCCGCTCTCTGAAATGACAGTGAAACGCAAAATAGGGACAAACTGGCATTTACACGAATCCCTTTGAAAAAGTAAGCAGTTGGCTTTATTGGTTAATGGTTTGATGGCCTTCTCAGTTTTCCTCCAGGGAAATAAGGGTGTTGATTTGTGGGCACAATTAAGGTTCCTTCTAGTGTTTAGATTCTAAACTCATGCTCAGTAACATGTTGCTGCATAACGGAGATTTTACGTGATTAAAGCCCTTGTTTCCCAATGACTTGCTTGTCACTTTAGTTTTTCTTTAATTTTGCCTCTGACAAATAGTTTTCAACTATTCTTGGTACATGAGGCTGCAAGTGGAAATTAATTGACATTACCTTCAATGAGCATATGGATCACGATTTTAATAGGCCTCTTCCTTGAACTGCAGTCGAAGCTGCTGAGGGGGAGACTTGTAAGACTCCTGTTAGAAGTGACACATTTTTGGCCATTAGGTGAAAGATGAAACATTAAACTGCATAGATTAGAATTACACTATAGAATAAAGTGCTTTATTGTTCTGATGTAGGAAGTAATTTGCATCACCAAATCCACAGAAGGTGTAATATAACAATGAAAAGCTTTAATAAATTCAGTTTTTCTTTTAAAGATTATTTATGCTTACAGAACTGGGGTACAGCCCAGAGGTATGGTATGTGAGAGGATTCACCAGAGACAGTGTGGGGAGCAGAACAGGCATATGTATTGAAACCCACTGCTGAGGGGAGCAGCCTGCGTGTCAGGAGAGGTCTGCCATACCATGTGGGTCAGCTCCCTGGCTAGGGATTGAACTTGTGCTGCCTGCCTTTGGGGAGCTTCAACCTGTTTGCTTTAACCTGTTGAGCCACCAAGGAGAGCCCTCATTTTTTTTTTTAATTCAAAAACCCTATTTAAGAAAATTAGTATTTCAGATTAAGATTTTTGTTTGAGTAATACACCGGGAGGGGTGGAATGACTGGGTAAAGGAGAACCTAAACCCAGTTCAGTAGGAAGAGAAGTTGAGAATCTGGAGTGACTTCAGGCTCCATTTCCAGCTCTAGCTAATTGTATTACCTTGACCAAGTCTCTTTACCTCCCATAATTTTTCTATCTCTAGATGAAACTGAACAGTTGGCGGATTGATCCATAGGTCCTCCGACTTGAATTCTATATTCACATATACCTATGTAACAATTTTTATTAAGGCTATATCATAAATCCAATTATACCAGTTACATTTAGAACATTAATTTCACAAATCTACATATAATAGTGCCAATCTATATAGGCATACTTTTTTTTAAAAAAGATTTATTTATTTGTGCATACAGAACTGGGGTACAGGCCAGAGGCTCAGGGGCTGCGAGAGGCTTCACCAGAGACAGAGTAGGGAGCAGAACAGGCAGATCCACGACGAAGTACACTGCTGAGGGGAGCAGCAGGCGAGCAGCCTGCCGTCAGGAGAGGTCTGCCACGCCATGTGGTCGCCTCCGGGGCAGGTGGGAATTGAACTCATGCAGAAGTGGCTTTAGCTTCTTAGTGCTGTGCTTTAACCCGCTGCGCCACCAGGGAGGGCCCTACGCATACTTTTTTAAAAAATATTTTTTATTATGCATACGAGAAATGCGTGTAGGAAATGAGGTACCTAGGGTGTGAGAGGATTCACTAGGGACAGCGTGGGGGGTAGAACAGGCAGATCTACTAAAACATGATGAGGGGAGCAGTGGATGAGACAGGAGAGGTCTGCTGTGCCATGTGGGTCACCTCTGGTCAGGGATGGAACTCATGGTGCAGGGGCTGGTGATAACTTGATAGCCTCTAGACTTTAATCTCTGTGCCTCCAGGGAGGTCCATATATAGGCATAATTCTTAATTCATCTTTATACAATGAGATACTATATATGTGGAAGTCTGTAAATTGAGAAGCATTATACAGTGTCAGGTGGTGTTAACTTCAGCTTGCAACAGTGAAATATGTGCAATCACCTTCTTTTAAAAAAATACAGCATTTGGAACTTTATAAGGGAATATATATGGAAAGTGGCTAGGAACTTTAAAAGAATATGTAGATATCTCATTTATTCACTCATTTGTTCATTCATTTTATCTCCTTCCTTCATCTGTCCCTTATTTTTATGCCTGGCTAACAGCACATGATGGCCTAGAAGACAGTATGTACCTTAAGAGTTTATAGTGTGGGGTGGTGGTTGTGGAGAGAGACATGTAGAATTTATTTAACAGCAAAAGTCTAATCAGTGACATAAATTCCTGGGGGTGTTAAGACTCCACAAGAGAGGAGGAGGTGATTTAATTGTAGCCTGAATGCTATTGGGCATTCCCTTTAATTTTTTTTTTTCCTTCCTTGATTTTCAGTTGAGACTTTTCAAAAGTAAAAGCTGTATTTTTCTACTCCTGTAGACTCATTCTTTCTCTTTTAGCTGTTTATTTTGGGAGAGTTGTAGATCTCATAGTTATAAGAAATAATACTCTGTATCTAATTTTTATCAATGGTAACATCTTGCCTAACTAGCATAACAACCAGGAAATGGAAATAGATAAATCAATCCATTCAGATGTCCCTAGTTTTGCACACACTCATTTACGTGTGTGTATTTAGTTATGCAGTATTTGTACATGTGTGAATTCATGTAACCACTGGCACAGCGAAGACTAACAATTTCATCACTACAAGGCTCCTCTGTGTTGCCCTTTTATAGCCACAGCCATCTCCCTCTCTCCACCCCTCGCAGTCACTAATCTGTTTTCTGTGCCTGTAATTCTATCGTTTCCAGAATGTTATATAAATGGATGGTATCATATATAACTTTTGGAGATCAGCATTTTTCCCCCTCTCAGATTCATGGAGGGACTGCACCTATATCAAGTTAATTCCTTTTCATTGTTGAGGTCCATCTCATGGTGTGGATGTACATTTTCTTTAACCATTAGCCTGTTGAAGGACATCTGAATATTTCAGGTGTGTGTGTGTGTTTAACCTATGTACTGGCTTTGGTATGAATATAAATCTCTCTTTCTCCGGAATAGAGGGCGAAGAGTGCAATGGCTGGCTGCACAATAGTATATGTTTAGTTTTATAAGGAGCCACCAAACTGTTTTCCAGAGTGGCTTACCATTTACATGCCCAAAAGCAGTGCATGACTGCTTCTCAGACTTGTCAGCTTTTGGGGTTTTCACTATTTTTCACTTTAGCCATTTTGACTGCTGTGTAAAAATATCTTATCCTAGTTTTACTTGGTGTTTCCCAATGGCTGATCACATTGAGCAACTTTTCACGGGCTTATTTGCCAATTCTTTATCATCTTGTGTATTCATGTCTTTTGTTCATGTTCTAGTTGTTTTGATTTTTTAACTGTTGTGTTCTCATATATTCTACATAGTAGTATTGTATTGTGGAGCTTTTTTTTTTTTTTTGTGGGGTCAGTCAAGAATGTGGTTTACAAATATAGTCTCCCAATCTGTCACTTTTCTTTTTGTCCTTACATCTGCTTTGTAGACAAGGTCTCCTTTATCAATTTCTCCTCTTGGGGATTATTACGGCTTTGGTATTGGGGGGGGTGTCTTATGTGCTTCTGTTATTTAATTTCATTCTTTCTTTTTCTGGAAGCAGTGTGAGTATTTCCTCTTTCAACAGTCCGGGAGCCCAAGTGTGTTGTGTGAACAAGTGGCTTTGATGGCTTAGACTGTATTAAAATGGCTGCCATCCTTTTGTGTCTTAAAAGTTTAATTTCTGCTTCATTAGGCTTTCAAGTGAAGCATTACTGTTAATATTTTAAAATTAAATAAGACCTATGTGTGCCAAGGAGATTTTTGGTTTTACATTCTAAATTAAAATTATTTTGGCCAAACTTGATCTAACCTTTTTAAATTAAAGTTTCTGGTAAGTAAGCCAAAGAGTAAAATTGTGTTCTCATTAAAATGCACTTTGAAAGCCTACTTCTGTATTTTGAGTAGTGAAGTTGCAAATCATGACCATGTATTTAGTAAGCTTTTTCCACTCACTATTAATTACCAGACTAATGAGTAACAGATGGTAGAATTTGTAGAGTCCATGTTTTCCTTTTATAGTAACTGCTTTTATTCATGCTAATTTCTTTCAAGGTAAACATTAACTTTAAGGTAGCT